CCGAAAGCATGCGTTGCACTCTTTTTTCCTTGAACCGATTTTATCCCAAAGTGGGTTTTTCGGCAAGGTTTTTAACGAGGCAATAGTAAAATGTGCTAACTTAGATTCGAAGACCGGAGTCAACGACCATTCGCTTCAAGTCAACAGTATGTAAGCCCTCACGAGTTCGACCTTGAATACTGGGGGCCATTACCCTCGGATTAAGGTCTATAGCAAGAGAAAAAGAAAACTTTGTGTGTTAAATTCTAAGGCTTGGTGATTAGGATTCATTTTAAGGGCCAAACGTTCGTATGAACCGTGCCCACATAGTTCTCTCTAGCCATGACACAAGTTTTTATACGCTTTCAATCGTGTACCTTGCATATTAAGAAATGAAAGAAAGTTCCACGGACTACCCCTACTTGGGGACTATCGAGCCCACAGGCTACCCCTACCCAGGGACTGTTGCCTGAAGAAAATTCGGACGGCCAGGGCTACCAAATCCCGGAGGCACCAAACCTTTTAGGCGGTGCCCAGACATAAAAGGCTACAGCCACCCTAAAAAATAGTTCGGAGACGTCTGAAGTCCGTAACCAAAAAGTAAGGCCTTTAACAAAATTCAAAACCTACTAAAAGGTTACCCTTGACAAAAACATCGTCTAAAAATACTTAAGAATCGTGGAAACCTCCGGTCTCACCGAGGGTTCGAAGCCACGAGCAAACAAAGTTACATTAAAGTCGGGCTTCGTTCGAACCTCCAAAAAACGAATGTCCTAGAACTACATCTGATTCTATGCTAAGGCATCAAAAACAATACACAAATAGAAATTGCAAGAAGATGCTGGAAAAGTAAAGACACGATATTGCCATAAAGGGAAAAATTTTATATACATTCCAAAATATATTTACATGGCCCAATAGAACGACTCACCAGGGCCCGACTCATCGCCAGAATCGTCGAAGCCCTCGGAGCCTTTGGCACCCTCAGGTTCGTATAGCTCCTTTGCCTCGGCCTCGAGCCTCCTAGATTTCTCGATCTCGGCCGATAGGTCAAAACCTCGGGCGTGGATCTCTTCGAGGGTCTCTCTTTGGGACAACCGCTTTATGTATTCAGTCTTTTTCTTTAAGCGGGTCTCGGCTGCCTCCATATCGGCCTTGTACTGGGCCACTATTTCCTCGGCATTAGCAGAGGTTGTATCCAATTTGGACCTCAGTGCCGCATATTCTCTTCCGAGAGAATCCCGTTCTGTGACGATCGAGCTCAGTTGTGTCCGGGGATCATCTTTCAATCGAGACCACTTATCGGCTTTGTCCTTCGCTATGCGAAGTTGGTTCTCGACCGATGCCAGCTCCACCTTCGCGACTTCTTTCTCCGAGGCCAGCGGGTCCATCCTGCCCTTCCACACTTTGGTCGTGGCCTTGACCTCGTCCATCTCGGCTCACAACTGGTCGATCAAGTCTATCTTTCTATTGGACCTGCGAAGTTGTGTTATTAGTCACCACGACTAGCTGCTCTTTTTTAGCTTCAAAGATCTTTACCTTCTCAACCAAGTCGGCGTATTCCCGCTTCAGGGTCGAGGCTTCCTTCTGAGAATTTTCCAGCTCGGCCTGGAGAATTGGGAGGTCTTTAAGGGCCTCGTCCTGTTGCTCACTAAGAGCCTTGTACATGTCCTTCTTTCGGACCTGCTCTTTGAGCTCGAACTCAAGCTGGCTAATTTCCAAGTGGTACCGGAGGAAGCTTTCATGGTGAAGCACTGAACCCTGTAAAATGATAAAATTAGTAAGAGACATCATAGAGAAACCTAAGTAGGATTCATGAAGGCGTACAAAAGTGTTAACGCCTTACCAGGTTCAGCGCCTACTGTGCCTTATTGAAAAGACTTGACGTGCCTACCTCGTTCATCTTTGTCTCGTCCTCTTCGGTCACCAGGCATCGGAGGTAGCTGGCTACACCCACCGGAGTAGACAGGACCCGAACATCCTCCAGGTTCGTTGGTCCCTTTGAGATGTTGCGCCCGGGGTCCACACTCAACCATTCTCTTGCGCCCGGGGTCCACACTCAGCGCGGGAAATTCCTTCACTAGTTTTGTGCTCGAACTCGGCCCGCCAGCTCCCGAGGGCACGTTCTTCTTCGGGATCTCCAGGTGACCCAGCCCGGAAAAATCCTCTAATGTGGCCATGTCCATGCCGTCAAAAAAGGAGTTGAGGGGATCATCTAAACCCCGCGCTCCCTCACTTAACTTTTCTTTACTCGCTTGGGCCTCTTCCTGGGAGGCCGCAGCCTCTATCTCCCCCTCAGGTTCCTGAGTCAGAAGGGGATCGACCTCGTGGTCCTCTTTCTTGGTCGTCACATGCTCCTCGGTAGGGGTCGACCCATGAGCGATGAAGATGTCATCTTCTTCGGGCTCATCCCTAAGCCGACAGAGAAAGTCAGGGTCCGGTACCCTTGACTTGGTTTTCTTCTTGGGCTTCCGAACCCGGGTTGTCGCCCTCTTCTTCCTCTTCGCCTAGGGATCCGAGGAACCCGAGGACTTTTCTCTTTTTCTTCTTCTTCTCCTTCTTCGCGATAGCCCTGGGCTGTCCCGAAATTGAGGGGTCGGCAAGCAAGGACGGATCCTTGTCCCTATCCAACGACCTAAGTTCAGTGGTCTTAGGCAGACTTGTAAGAAAAAAAAAAGGGTTAGCAATGTAAGTTAAGAGCATGATGGTAACTACTCAGGGAAGAACCTCACCATGAGAACGAGCCTCCCATTTTCCTTCGAAAGATTGCGTCATGCGTGCTTGGAGTACGACATCGGGGGATTGCATCGGGAACTTGGGCAATAGTTGTACAACCAAAAACATAGGCGATGAGAGAAAGAATAAAAAGAAAGAAATACCCAAGAAAGACAATACTTACGGGATGCGTTCCACTCCGCAGGGAACGACAGAAAATCGGGGGGATCAGGTTTTTAGTTTTTAATCGAACGAACCTCCCATGCCAGCCTCAGTCTCGGTCCTCGTCAATGCTCAAGAAAGAAGCCTTGATTGCTCGATGAACAAGCTTGATCAGTCCCCCTCAAAAGATTCGGGGACTGTATAGGCGGATTAGGTGGTCGAGGTTGAACCGAGGAGATTCGGTGTAATTCACAAAATGGCACAAGAGGATCACAATCCTCCAGAAGGACGTGTGGATTTGCCCAAGGCACACCTCGTAACTCTTATAGAAAGCAAGAATTATGGGGTCCACAGGGGAGAGCGTGAAGGGATAAGTGTAAACAATTAGATACCCCTTCACGTGAGTAGTAATATCATCATTGGGCCTGGGAACGACAACGTCCTTACCCTTCAATTTACAGTCCGCTCAGACTATGGGTAGGGTTTCTTCGATGATGGAGCATATATATTTCCATGCCCCCTCACCTCACTCTTGTTGGCTGGAAGCCTTCTCGACCTTGAAGTCATCCTCAATAGAGCAAACCTTGGGTATGAAGCTCTTCATGGGGGACTCATAAGCCACCTCAAGAACAGCCACCTCGGCATCTGCGACCAAGTGGGAAGATGAAAGGACAGCCTGCTGAGGCACTGACTTGGAAGTTTTAGCCATTATAATATGAAAAATATAGGTCTGAATGAAAAATATGAAGATTTGAAGATGGAATGAAGGTAAGAAGGTCTGGGATGAAGGTTCAAAGAAGAAGTATGAAGATGAATATATGAATGCTCAATGAACAATGTATGAAGATATGAAAAGATTAAAAGCCGGTAGAATGTTCGAAGGTGAAGTCTAGAATCAAAAAGTGGAAGAAGTGAAGAGGGTTAAAGCTTTTATAGGGGAGAAGGCAATCAATGCGCGACGTTTCACATTCGAAGACGGCCAGCCGATGACTGACACGTGTCTGAAGTCATAACGACATGACTGATAGGACGTTTCGATTTACATGTCATCTCTGTTATAGCGTACAAGGGAAGAAACCGGGGTTCATCTATCGTTTTCCATCGTTTCGGCAAACCTACTCTACGAAAAATGAGGGGACTATCTGTATACGGGTAAAATCGGGGATTGAGCATATCCCGATTTCCTGGTGAAGAAAACGAAAGAAGGGTACAGACGCACGACACTGAAATCGAGGTCGGGAACCTTTCATATCGAGACCCACGAAAGAAGAACGATGTCTTCATCACCGGGCACGTTAAAGCGACGCTCCCCGGACCTAGAACGAATTCTAAAACCTCGAAAAATACGGTAAACTGTTACATACGACGGATAGAGGGCCGTGATATTCGTACTTGACCGGATATCATGGCGTGGATCTCGCTCGATGTTGATTATGGATCAGTAATTAACAGGAAAGGAAGAGTTTTAGCTTTTTTAGACTTGTACTAGGGATGAAACTCTCCTACTATATAAAAGGGAGGCTTTTACTTTTGAGAGACACATTTTTAATGCGCAAACCAAGGCAATACAAATTCATTTTTCTGCTTTCTAGCTATTGCAAAGTTCTTACTTTACTGTTTGTATTCACAATTGGATTCGAACCAAGGGTCCGATCGAGGGCAAAACTACTGTTCAACCTAAGTTCGAGCTGGGCCGTGATATTACAATTGGTTTGATTATTCATTTTCTCTTTAACTCATTTATCTAATATTCTTGATTATTTGTGTTGAATCAATCCACATATCTTTAAAATCGCGTACAAATTTAATTATTATCCGTTTTAAGGGTAAACAAAACCTTTTTCCAAAAAATCTTGTATTAATTCCAAAATCTACAATATCATCATATGGTACCATTTCTCATATAATGTCTTCACATTATTCATCAATTTTTTTCCAAATTTGTTGATCCAAATATTTACCGGATCATAATAAATCCTTCCAAATAATACCTGAAATCCCAGGTATAGTTACTGAGGTCGTCACTACTACTACTATTTGAGGTGAAACTTTCAGAATTTAAAACTTCAGGGGTCCAAGTAAAGATACCCTCTTTTATGCTTATCTTTTTTTTCCAGCCTTGCTCTTGGGGCAGCCAGTAGAGGTAAGAGTCTAAACTTCACGGGTCTAAGTGAAATTACCCGTGAGTTGAAATTGAAATTGAAATTGAAAATCCTTTGCAGTTTCAGAAATAGTCCAACGCGTTTCCTCCTCCTAGAAGAAGCAGTACAACTCTACCCAGACGACCATCTCCTAGATCTCCCTCTCATCATTCTAAGTCTTTATCAAAATGGTACTAGCTTCTTTCTTCAATTTCATAAGATTCTCTTCGTTTTGCTTTACCTTTTTCACAAGTTCAAGAATTACTATAACGCATGGAGAAACTTGCCTCAGTTTCCTGTTTAATACAATTTCTGCTAATACCCTTTTGGAGTTCTTTAATACTGCTTGGATGCTATTAATCCTTCTTTTCTTCCTTTTGATTTTTTTTGCAGACTTATTTAGAAGAAAGATCAACGGTAATGATTCTAGTCTTTTTGAATGTCCTTTTCTTTAAATATTTTTATTTATGTTTATGTGAAGGTGTTGATCTTTTGTTGGTAGCTTTCTTTGTTTGAGGTAAAAGGAAATAGATTGTTGTTGGAAAGGACCCAAAGGCTGAGCTATGATTTCAACTTTATGAGTTTCTGAAATTTAGAAGATAACTTCAAGTATTAGTAATTGAGTTCTAAATTTAATGTTTGTACATATTTACCGGGGTGTACAATTACGACCCTAGTAATAATTATGCACGGCTTTTCAATAGACCCTTAATGAATTTTTTAACACAAAAATACAATTACTGGGTTCAGTCGAACTCGTTCGGGTTTCTAGCTC